TAGTCTGACTACCTGGACTTCCACCAGAATGCCCTTGTCTGTTGTCTCTGGAAAGGTGACACCACGAGAAGTTTCGACAGAGGCCCATGAGAAAGTGGGAGCACGATATTGCCGTGGTCGAGTGTTCGGCAGTGGCTGCGCCGTCTTTCCTTCTTCCTCGCCGTCGTTGACATACCACAGTAACTGGCTCGCAAGGTAATTCTGCCACATGCCGGCGAGATATTGGTCCTCACTGCCATCCAGTCTCAAGATCCTTGTCATCATTCTCGCAATGCCGGACAACGCTATAAGTCGGTCTCTCTCGTCGCTCAGTTCCATCTTGGTGTACACCTCGACCATCCTTTTCCAGACCTCGTAGAGGTACAGCTTCGGTTCAATGGCCTCTACCATCCATTTCAAGCCCTTGGTACGCGACGAACTGTGCAATGACGCCAGTCTCAGCTCGCGAAGCCGCCTGCCGACTTCCCGATCCATGGCCTTTAAACGGGCCTGGTCGACGAGCTGACCCGCCTTCATCTGAAGATGGGGAAGGCCTTCTGGACGGCATTCTGCTCTGTCGAGTTCGCGGCATTCAAAGGCAATTTGGTCTTTACACCAATGCAATACCCTTGGTGCCAGAAGTCGCTCCTGGAAAACCCAAGATCGCCGGTTCACTGGTGCATTGTCGACATATTGGTCCCAGAACGACAGATCGGAAATGGTACACTCAACGACCTTCTGTCCATCTCCTGAGAGGTCTTGTGTTCGAAGGCTCACTGTGTCGAACCATTTCCGATCGGGGTCCCGGCGGTTGAATAGACCTTCAGAGCCATCGATGGCTGCAGTGGCAGAGATGTTGCAGTGGCTGAAAGCATATACCTTGTCCATCTGCGAACTTTCATGGAGCCAATCCTGTTCGTCCCCTTGGATTATACAGAGAGCATCGATCCAGATCCACCGCACACCTAACTCTCGTGCGAATTGCATTGCGTGCTGGAACGTTGTGGGGAGATGTTCTAACAGTATTGCAGTTTGCAAGTCGGCTCTATTCATATGTCGGAGCTTGGGGATTGTCATATGCCCCCATCGATGGCTCAAAGTAACATATCTCCCTTCAAAGAGTGGTTGGCCGTCCTTCTTCTCGGTATCCTTTTGTGACACCAGCCGTACGATATCCGTCTTAGCCTCCGGCATGGCTCGCAGGTCTATTAATCGTGTCGGGTACCATTGTATACTTGAAGCGGTCTGACATTTAGCATGGGTTCTTGCGCATACATCGATCCAATCTCTGGCCAGGTCGAAGACCTCTGGATCTGATGTATTTGCGCTTCTGGGAGTTGTTTGGAGATGGCTCGGCATGTTGGCGTCTTTATCCACGTCAGCAATCTCTGCAGAGGGACTGCAGCAATGGCAGCATACCATTCTGTTTTAAGACGAAGCTTGCGACTGTCGTCTTGGTCTGTTCAAGCTTGATGTCCAGACGGTAGACACCATTATAGCGAGGAAATCGTTGCAACAACGCACAGAGGAACCAGCTCCTCTCGAGACCGACCGGAGGGTTGATATGAAGATCTCTCAGTTTCTCGTCGATGACACGGCAGAGATAGCATTCTGCATCCTCGGCGGCGGCCTTGACGTTTTCTGCCGTTTCATGGTGCCAGAAACTCAGGGCCAGTTGTGAGCCAGAATCCCGGCGCCCCTTGTGTCCGTACAACATATCATGGCACACCTTGCAGACCATTGTGAAGAATCCAGAGGAATTCGAGATGGCATGGTTCTGGCAGAGAGGGGAGCATTTGGAACCAGGTGAAAGGACGTCCAAGTAGATGTATGAGGCTCTCCAGCCTTAGAATGTCCGGACGTCTGTCTGAAACAAGCATGGTTGAAGGAGCATGGCCCCGGGGCCCAAAACGCTTTGGGTTGTGCCAAACGCTCACTCCTCGGCCACTGTTGGTCCCACTCCTTTCCGGGCAGTTAGCTGTAATTGGTACTGGTCGTCCAGATTGAAGTACAAGTGACTAGCTATGCAGCCTGGTCTCGGTAAAAGGGGGGCGATTCAGCTGGGGACCCATGGCACCCCTTGACAGCAAATAGCAACAGAACCAGGCCCCCCAGTGCCTAGAAGCCGTTTCAACAGTAGCGCCACTCGTATGCATAGCACCAACCGTCGACGAACACCCAGACTCTCCAAGGGGGGCTGCGGCGCGCTTCGTATCTCCGGGACTTGCCGCTGAGTTGTTGCTCGTGTTGAGAATGTGAGCAAAACAATGCCAATGTTGCACACTCCATTCGCCAATGTCCATTTGACTATGTGCCACTGGCTTTGACCTATTTTTCGCAACTCTTGGTAGGCAGCAATTGAGCCTGATCAGATTTGGGGACCCCTTAAAAGGCTGCAGACAAATATATGCATATCTTTGCATTCTCGCAGGTGATGGTGAGGTATTGACCAGCGGTTTAGAAGTACCTGTGGCGCGTAGAGCAGAAACATATTCTTAGCCATCATGCCGTCGTTCATCCTGCCCAAAGTCTCTCCGAGCGTCGAAGTGACAATCCCGACGAACGTCACCCAGGACGAGCTGCTCGCATTCCGCCCCTTTAAGGACTGGCTCGCCACACTGCAGAAATCCATCAAGTTGCAAAAGTCCGAGGCTACACATGCCTTTTACGACAAGAAGGACCCCTATCAATTACGTTCGATCAATGTTCATTCGGTGGAATGGTTCGGGCCTCGCATCGGCTTTATCTTGATGGAGACAGTGGTGCAGAATGCCGCCGATCCACGACCATTGCCTGGTATCGTCTTCTTACGTGGTGGCAGCGTGGCCATCCTGATGATTGTCCGGCCAGAAGGAGACAGCGACGACAGATTTGTCGTCATGACTCAACAGCCCCGGATACCCGCTGGGAGTCTTACTTTCTATGAGATCCCGGCTGGGATGATTGACGAGTCGGGTACCTTTGTGGGCGCTGCAGCGACCGAGATCCGCGAGGAGACAGGCTGGAAAGTACCACAGGGAGAGCTCGTCGACATGACGGAGATGGCGCTGAGGAACTCCACAGGTATCGAAAGCCACTTGCAGAAGGCAATGTATCCCAGCCCCGGAGGGTGTGACGAGTTTATCGCCCTGTTCTTGTGGGAGAGGACCATGTCTCACAAGGAACTTGCCGAACTGAGAGGCAAATTGACTGGGAATCCCAAAGAAAGAGAAAAGATCAAGGTGAAGCTGGTCGAATACAAAGAGCTCTGGAGGGAAGGAGCGAGAGATGCGAAGACGCTTTGCGCATGGGCGCTGTACGAGGGATTGACCAGGGATGGGATCTTGAAGTGAAGACGACGGCCATTTGGTCCTCAAAGAACGAGCTTGCTGACGACTGCTAACCATTTGCGAGAGACTCTTGAGCGTCTTGGGAACCAGGTTTCATGTGCATAGACGTGGCTGCTATCAGGTATCTTTTCTTGTTGCCACACCAAGTTCTGCCAGAACCTGTGCTGGTCCCAGCTTTTGCCATTGCTCCAGCTGTTGTGTATTCGTCATCCAGACCATGCCCATCATACCAGCAGCGTTGGCACTCGCTCCTTGCACTGCCACTCTTCGCCGGGGCACAACCATCATCCACCTTTTCGTAAGCATCATGTTGTGAGGGAAGTAGGAGAGAGTGTCCCCGGAACATCTTTGCCAGACCGTGTACGCCTCGTTGCGTAGCCTCTCGTATACTGGAAGCAAAGAGTCTAGTGTGCTCTCTGCTTCAGGCTGGAGAGGTTGGATAAAGTATCTGAATGGAATGTTCTCGGGATTGAGTGCCTCCAGGTCGGGAAACAGCGTCAAGCCGTCCGAGCAAGGAATCACCTGCATGTGTTTGTGGAGTCTGCTGCAACCGGCCTCGTTCCCGCAGTTGAACATGATAAAATGCTCATGGCTCAATTGGTTAAGAACAACCCATGCGGCCGAGAGATCTGTCTTGTCGAGATTCTCCGTCTGTCGCCTGAACGAATCGAGCGTCAAGATCAGGTACTGTGGCCGAAAGACGGCGAAACGGTTCAGAACCAGAAGATGCGTCTCATGGACCTTAGTCACAATGAGGGCTGGGTCTGCGTCGACGAGGTCGCTCCCAGGTCCATATTTAGGGAGCTGGTCAAAGGCGGCGTTGTTGGTTGCATCGGCCGTCGCAGGTTTCGATGCCAACGCTGGACAGATGCGGAACTCGAACTTCAGGCTGTCGTCAGTCCGTGCATTGGATTAGCGAAAGAAATGCGACAATGTATCTCACATCGAACCCTTGATCCTTAGTCGTGAAGACTGTCTCAGGGCCATAAAGAATGATCTGCCGAGCAACCAAGTCGTCGAAAGCGCCAACCACCTGCTTCTCATCGAACGACATCGTCAGGGAGACTTCTGAATTTCGTCGAAGCGGCGAGTCTGCATATACGGCACGATTACGAGGCTTTGAGAGGAGAACTAAGCCGTCTACACTGTATCGGTAACAACAGAATCATCGAGCCAAGTTGAGAGGTTTGTGGCAGGGTGTCTGACCTGCGCTCATTCACGTAAAACGGTGGCAACTCTGGTTGGTAGAAGGGAATTCTCTTCGGACACACCGCCACTCTATCATTCATCTACACTATTAGTCTTGTCATGTCATGAACGATTAGCCGTCTCGTTGCAACCGGGTCCTCCTCTGCTGCCTTGATGGATTGTTTCACTTTATCCTTGAACTCGGCTGCTCATACACGAGGTCCGGGTATTCCTGCAAGAAACAGGCAAGGATGAAGTCACTTGATGGCACTCAATTGCTCCTGTTGGTCAGGGTTTTCCATGAGACTGGTTATCTATGGCTACACGCCTTCTCCGGCCTGTATCTTTCCACAATCTTGCCTTGCAGAATGCTTTGAAGAAGATACTGACCGGACTCTAATTCCACAGAATGAAGGCGAAGAACGAGCAGAGAGACGGTCCAGATGCCCGACCCTCAATCCTCACGTTTGCCGTGTTCTGCAGACACCCTCCTCGATGATCCTGTCAATCAGCTTCCCGCCGCAATGCTAACAGACCCGGAAGAGTGACTTGAGCCTCTTCATACATGGGCTCGAGTGGGAGGCCCTTCCTCACTAGGAAGAGACATTGTGAAAGCAGCTTTTGGGCCAGCTCCTTGATACGACCATCCAGATGAATAACATCCTCGATTTCAACCTCAGGCAGGACCAACGACCGGGTTTCAAACGACCTCATAGCAAGCTTCATCCTCTGCACGTCATCAGCCCGAAGTTCCTCGCCATTAAAAATCTTCTCTCGAACAGGAGCCAGGTCGTCCCTCATGTCCACCAATGCTGCCGTCGGCATCTGGCTCAGGAGGAGGGAAGAGTATTTGTGGCTGCCAGAAGAGATGGCCGAGGTGGAGAAGCTCTTTCGGGAGTCTCCTGCGTGGGCGACTGAGGCCATGAACTGCCACGAAGGCACCTCGTCCTCCTCGAGAAAGATGAGCGTTTCATTATCAGCATGGAAAGCGTAATCGAAGGTGATAGTGGCGCGATATGGGGCATCAAATATCTCGTGGCAGAAGGGACCATAGAGCCACGGTTTCTCGGTGATTCGATCCCGCGCCTTCAACAGCTGCCTCTTGGCGTCTTCGCTGGTGTCCTTGATCAAAAATTGGATCACACTGTCTCTGTCGCTTGCCTCGTCAAACAAATCTGCGAACTTGTACAGCGGCGATCGAAAGACCGCCTCCGGAAGATGCTTTGATAGCAGATGAAGGGCTTCAGAAAGGTCTTGAGCAGCCTGTTTTGCAATTGAGGAACGTTCAACATAGTCGTCATCAACATCCCAATGACCTCCTGCTTCAATGTGGTTCCAAAGTTGTACAAGGTGTTCAATGGTTTGGTCTCGATGGAGAGGGTCGACCTCGGTCCTCAAATACCTGCCGTAATCTCGGCTCAGGGTCGGTTCGTCGTAATAGAGGATCTGATGGGTATTCGCCGGATCATCGAAATAGTCGTCCATCTGCGCAATGTGATCGTCGCTGACCGATTCAAAAATGTATAGCTTGGCCCTCGTCTCACGACATCGTTGTAATTTGCGAGGGCCGTCTTTCAGTTTGGCAGATAACATTGGGAACACATGGCGGATGTAGACTTCATCCAACTGATCGCGCTCGCCTTGAAACAATATCTCATCCACAAAGACCGTGGAGTTGGTGATTGTATTCGGAGGGACAACCATGCCATCTGCAAACAAAATAGATCGGTGCAGGAGGGCTCTCATATAATTCTCGGGAGGGACACCAAACCGGTTCATTTTGGAATTGACATTGTCCATCGAAGGGCTGAACGCCACGCACTTTGCACTCCGTTGCATGGCGCTGGCCTTCGTTGATCTGGATCCGCTTGACGCTTGACGCTCGTGGAGAATAGAGGCCAGGAGGTCCTCAATCAGATGGCGACTCTCGTAGTTCCCGACGACCCAAGCGATCCCGCTCGATATGCGCAGCGCTCTGGCAGCTTCTTCCATCTTACCTCCACAGAGCATCGCCAACCCGCTTAGGGCACTCACCACCCATGTCTGAGCGTGATGGCGAGGAGGCACTTGAAGCAAAGCCGCCTCTTCTAGTTCCACATGGTGCAACTGCAGCTCCTTGAGACCTTCGTTCAGCCTCTGACAAAATCCCTGCTTCGCTTCAAGGATGGATGGGCCTCCGTTTCTGAGGATGTGGCTTAACGTCTCCCATACTTCAGAGCAGCTCTTTGCTGGTCGGACCTTATTCTTCTGTCAGTATGATCCCGTGGACGATACACACAGGATGACTTGCCTGATGTCCTTCTGTCTGGAGGTTCATATTTTGCAGAATTCGGTTCCAGTCCTGTCTCGGCGACGTTCCTCCGTTGAGTGTTTGCAAAAATCTCGGGTTAGCTCTTTCTCCACTTCTCTCCTCAAAAAGAGTAACCAAGTCGATCAGGAGCAGTTTACACCAGTGAGGTCCCAGGTCTTCGGCCCATGATTTGATCTTCTGCTCGAAGCGAGGGAACTTGCTTTCGCCAGAATGTCTTTCTCCAAGAAAATATCCACTAAGAAGGCAAAATCCAACAGGCGAATCCTCTGCAAGGTCCATGCTCAGGGTGAGGCCTTCAATTGACGACTCACACGAGCTCTTGGGGAATATGAGCCACACAATTGAGGCTTGCCTCTTGTTTGATAGGAAGCGAAGATAATCGAGGTTGTCATTCATATCACTTCCGCTGAAGCCGGCAACCAGCCATACCGTTCGTTTGAGAAGAATATCGAGCACATCGGTCGCAAAAGAAGGTAGGCCCTGGGCACGCTGTAATCGGGTGTCGATGCAGCTGACTGGATCATAGCACGAACCGTGGATCTTGAAGAGGAAGGTTATTTTGCCACTCCCCAGCTGCGGCATGAGAGATCGTATAAAGGCAAAGGCTTTTGCCCCGTTCACAATCAGAACCAGTTTTTTGTCCAAGGTTGTCAGTGGTAACCGGTCTGAAATCTCCCTACCGTCCACGTGAGGATCCCCAATGACCTGGTAAAAGAGCGATGTCTTGCTTTCGATAGCCTTCTCCAGGTAGTTGTCAAAGTTCGTGGTCATGACGGCCGCAACTTGGCCAGTGGAAAGAAGTTCAGCAGCCCACGTATGTATCTTGTTATATGCAAACATTCCATTGTCTTGCTTCTCAGCCTGAAATGCATCCAACACTTGCAAATACTGCTGACCAAGGCGTCTCGAGATAACTTCGGTAACCATATAGTTAGGTACGGTTCTTTTGAGTTGGTCGAAATAGCCCAAGATCCCCTCGGACACTTGTAAAGATAAACATCAGCTGGCCATTCCCGGCTAGTCATGCTCAATACACACCTGTATCAGGCTGAATATCTGTCACAGCGACCTTCATCGCTGACGTCCATAACAGTTCCACAAAGTCATTCCACATGGGTAATTGCGCTGGCTTGAACGTGGAAATAGCAGCACCCAGGAATAATGTGGCTCGTCCTTTCGCCTTCTCAGTGAAGGAGTCGATGCGCGGAGCCGCTTCCACCAAATTGTGACTTTTGAAATCCCCTTGAGCCTCATGCGGGAACTCCATCAATCCGCTCGTCGCTGCTCGCTCCAGCAGCGTATGATTTGCCATCATGGCTGCTTTGATGAGCTGAGTTCAATATTCGGTGGTGAGGCCTCTGGTTGATAGTCGTTGGTAGATCAAGGACAGCGTTGATTGAGAGCGAGTGCTTTTCAACCCCTTCACCTATACCATCAATCGTGTTCTGACCGGGCGGCCACCCTGTTATAATCGAGGACTGTCAGCTCCCTCGCGAGTGGCCAGTATTCTGTGTCAGAGTGCGCCAGCTAATCTTCGACTCGTGTTGCTGGCCGCAGGTGAGGCTCTACAGCATATGTAACACGCTAGCAAGAGCCCCTTTGATAGGCATCAGGCCAGGGTTTGGTCTCCTGGAAACCTTGGCGAGGTTGTTAAACAGTTGGCTAGACTCTGCAGCCTCAGGTGATGCAATGTGACACGAGTCTCAATAAGGGGGGGCCACAGGTTTGGCTGAGTTGACGCGAGACAAAGAGATGCATGTATTTGCGATCCAGCCGGACAGAACAAATAACTCTCGAGAGAAGGCTCTAGCCAACCATGATTTAAAAAGATAGCAAGGCAAATGCCACGGCTGTCGGGCTTGTCATTGTTCGCCTACCTGGGTCTGGACCAACGCATCCGAGCTTCAGCGTATCGACAACGAATCGAATGGCTCACACCGGGGCGTGGGCATGTGCGTGGTGTCCCAAGAAGCCATGTAAGGGAACAATCACAGGGTGCCGCTGCATGTTTCTAATCCCGAAGAGAGGATTTCGAGTCGGGATAGATGAGGCTCTGAAGTGAAAGACGGAGAGGAGGAGCTCATTTGATTTTGTCATGTAAGGGAGCTGGGAGAGTGAAATTCGCAGGCACATGATGTGTTTGCAGTGAGAAAATACTGGCAATGACGATGCCCACACCGAGGCCAAGACTACCTATCTATTTCTACCTACAAGCGTCGACTAGGGGGCTATACTGTAGTAGCTTAGGTGGAGCACTTAAGCCCGAAACCCACCCACTTGGTCCCGGGACTTCCCTACCACACAAATGTCTAGGCACCTAAATCACCCCTAAGGTGCCACGAGCTCCTCCAGGTTCTCAGTAAAGATGTCAACGCCAATGAAGAGCTTGTCCTACCCAACTACCTTTCTGCCTACCCCCTCGTGGTAATAGGAAATTTTCCTCCGCCTTACTACTCTCAATCGACATCCTGGTCTGTCCTATCAATCTCATCTCCTCGTATATCCCTGCTATTCCCCATGCCACCATCCCTTCGGAAAGCATGCCACTCCTGCACAATCGCAAAGCGCCGTTGCGTGCCTCAACTCCCACAATGCACCAGATGTGCTGAGAAAGGACTGCGCTGCACCTACGACTTGGAACCTGTGACGAATCTCGAGATAGGTAGCTCTTGTCCGCCGCAAACGATCGCGCAAAGCCCTTGGGAGCCACTATCTCCGATCATCTTCGATTCCGTCGCTTCGGCCCACGAAGCCGCCGTGCATTCCTTCACCTCCGACAGACAAGAGATGCTCCCTGTGATGGCAAACCAGGAGACGCTCATGATGGTTGTCGAGCGTTACCTGAGATTTATCCCCTTGCTCACGTTTCAGCAAAGAACCACTCCCTACATCCACAGCCAGCTGCTGTTGGCCAGTAAGCGGACTTCTGCAAGCGTGGTTCTCCTAGATATCGATGGCTCTGAGGCCACACCAGGTACCAATGCTGCCTTTTTGAAAAGAATGCAACAGCATCTACTTTCTCTCAAAGTCGAACAGCTGACATTCACTGAGTTCCTGCCCGCATTTCACACGCTGGCTGCTGTCCTGCTCTCCTTCGTTCTGAACTTAGACCGACGACCGCCTATCCTATTTGATCTCTGGGCAACATGGACAAACCATTTCCACACGACACTTCCGCGAACGCTTAGTAGCGACTTGTCGGCATGGCAAGCCTGGTGTACTGCTGAGAGCGCGCGCAGAACCTTTCTATATATCCTTCTTCTTGAGGGAATAGTGGAAACAAGCCAGAAGGGATACTGCCACTACCGCCCTATGGTGGAGTCTCTACCCCTCGATGTAAGGACAGGTCTCTGGGAGGCAGAAACGGAAGAAGAGTGGCAAGCTGCCGTGGCTATCCATGGCGGCGTAGAGTCAGAATTGATTTCATGGGCCGAGTTCATTGGAAGTGGCGGCCCAGAGCCTCGTCAAGGTTATGACGGGATGCTTCAGCGGCTGCTTCTTATGATTCACTTTGGTAAGGCCGCTGCTGACGTCCAGTAGCCCACCCCAGGCACACTGGTCTTATGCAACTGGGAAGATACCTTGCTTCATTCACGTCTCGGTGTGAGAAGGCCAACGTTCTCCACAGCCTTGTGGCGCAACGAGGTACGTGGAATCCCTCCTGAAATACCCGAGTGGAAACTAATACTATTCACGTTAGACGGAAGCCGTGCTCCACCCCCATCGTGGGTCAGAAATCGTACTACAGTCTTCGATGCAAGTACGTCTTGGGAAGAGGAGGGAAAAGTACCGGGTCTGACTCTCGAGATACTTTGTACAGAACAATGACATCCCTCTTCATTAGAGCGATGGCTCTCTTGTCTGACGGAGTATTTTCTTCGACTCCTTCTCCACTTGTGGGTGATAGCAACCCTCCCATATCCAGCAGTCACCGGACGAGGTCAAACAACACCAGAGGTATATAAAAGGGAGAAGTGAGCGGTGGCCGCTCCTACCACACACCAACCTTGTTGCTGCGAGCTCATTCATCTAACCATTGAAACATGGAATACAACCAAGACCTTCCCAAGGGCCGGACCTTGTAAGTCCCCCAAACTATATCAGCTCACCTGTAGAGCCGGATTGTCATTACTTGGATGTTAACAGTATCTCTGCGGACACGTAGGGACCCAGTATTTTGCTGGGGCCACAAAGCTCTCCCACCACAGCGCGGCGTGGTCACATATGCAGTCTCACCGAACCGGCTCAACCCGTTGGCGAACTCCTTGCACAGTGCAGTGTTTAACACATACCGTCGATCAAAGAATCAGGTGTTATACTGGGTGCCGCCCTTCGTTGTCGCTTATCTGTTGATGGACTGGGCTAATCGACGGTATGTCGAGTCGAGTCCCTGTACCATTTCTCTAGACAGTCAGGCAGGGGCCTCCGTGACACCCTTTCACTGAGAATAGGAAGGAGGAAACCCGGACAACCCTGCTCTCTCCGCCCTTCCTTCCCTTCTCGGCACGATGCGCTATACACCGCACTTACATACCTGCTGACAAGGGCTCGCTGAGATAGGAACGCGCACCTCAATTCCAAAGCTGGCAGGGCAGAGGCAGCCAAGCGGAACTGACCAAGGGGGGGAGGACAATCTGCATCTTAGAGAAAGGAGCATAGGAGACGAAACTCGGGTCCATTCACGTCGAATCCGCTGCGGTACTTCAACCAACGCGCGCGCGAGAGAGAGGGAGCGAGAGAGCGACCGAGTATTGCAGAAAGCCGAATCAAATCACCTTTCGTGAAGACTGTCTATGTACCTAGAGCACAAGGTCTATATGAAACATGAATCGTCCATGCGTCCGTCCTCCGCAGTCTGTGAAGTCACATGCATCATAACACACTTGTGCTCACTCACGCCACTCATACTCATGCCAAAGTCAAAGATGTGTTTGAATACATGTTCCGGAGAGGCAGAAACCATATGTAGTTCGTGCTGTGGTGCTCGTCGGTTGTTCTCGTGTGTCCGTGAGGGATGAATGACGAGATGATGGTCCTCTTCTACAGATACTGCTTTCCTTTTTCTCTTCGTTAAAACAAGATCGAAACTTCCTTTGCATTTTCATATTTCTGGCTCTTTGGCCCTACCATAAGACTAGAACTCGACGATGCCCTCCAAATTGTTACACCATGATATACAACTCATCTCTCGGTAAGCCATCCTCTTTCAAGTTCGGATAATAGGGCACCATTGCATCTGCGCTGTGCACATATGCATCGTTGTATAACCTCCAGTATGGCGTGCGGACTTTCCTCGCTGGATGGAATAGTCCTGCCCACACATAATTCATCACAATGCCGGTACCAACCGCCATTCTTATTGCCTCAATGGCCTCGATGATCCGATCAATGACGTGCGGTGATGTCTCGAATAGGTTGGGGTAGAGAAGGTTCAGGAGATGGACCATTGCGTCTTCACACCCAAGACCCATAACACCAAGCGCAACGTGTTTGACCACACTAGCTGCGGTTTGCCGGTGGACTTGATCCCGATCAATGAGTGCATCCTCCAATAAAGGCGTAACGGCGTAAACATAGTCCTTGGCCATTTCTCCAATATATTCGAATAGAAAACTCAGCGATTTCAACACGCCGTTCTGCACGTTGAGTTCGGGAACGCGGTATTCGTTCATCAATGCCGGCAAGACAGTGAAAGGTGCGCATGTTTCGGCGACAATACCGATAGCCACCGCGGTACAAACGCGAGATTGTCGCTCTTGGACGCGTAGATTGTTGAGAAGCGTTGCGAGAACATCCTGTGGACCGATAGCTTTGGCAATAAACCCGAAAGTGTTGTTGGCAGCTCGACGAATTCCCTTCTTGTGTGCCTTCAGCATATCCAAAAGTTCAAAGCATATACGCATCCACTCTCTGGCATTGACGGATTCAGGACCTCGATCCGCAATACGTCCAACAAGATCAATCGTGTTTTCCTGGACTTTTTCGTGACGATTACGCAGAATGGGAGTTAGACGCGGCAACAGGTCCTTGATCGGTGGTTGCATCTGGTTGATTCCCACCACGGTGACAATGGATCGGAGTGCGCCCAGAATAGATCCCAAGACTTCGGGATACTCCTCCCCAAGGTACTCATAGAGGACGACACCGAGTTTGCCCATCAGAGCATCTTCACCACATTGTTTCATGACCATTGCAATACGCGAAATGAGATCTGCAGCTTGTTGACGGACCGTAGCAGATTTATTGTTCAGTCGCCAGAGGATTGTGCTGACGATTTGTGGGAGGTAAGGTTTACATCGCGTCCCTAGGGCG